GGACCCTCTGGCCTGAGCTTGCCAGAGCCCATTTTGTCAGTTCTCCCCCTTGCTGTCTTCTCGGATTAGGCTTCCCCTCCTTTCCCACACAATCTTTGGGCAGCCGCCGCATCTCAGGCGCCACTGCGCGCAGCTGCAAACCACATTAGTGTCTCGGCAAGGGGGCAGTAATGCCATTACCCAGGAAGTATTAGAGGTGCTAAATGACAGCCCCTCCCCAGGCACACAACACTGGGATTAATCTCACTCCAGCGGATCACGGTGAGGCCAAATGGGGTCCCTGATTGGGAGGGCCTGCCTCTTTTGGTTGGACCCCGGGCATGTTTCCTTGGCCTGGCAAGGGAGGGGGGGCAGTCATGCAGGGGGTGGGGAGGGAGACCCTCCTTTAGTTCAACAGATACTGCTGCTTTTCCCAGCTGGGGGGGCCCTCAGCAGTCATGGAGTTGCTTTCCTCCCATACACCCCCTTCCAGGAATGGAAGGGCTGCTTGTTGGATAGGGGATCTTGATCACTCCCCATTGGGGGAATCAGGTCTACCCTTTGTACACTCAGTGCATTGATCCTGATGAGCAAAAGGGCAGCAAGATGTGACTTCAGCTGATTTTGAAAGAAAATTGCAAGAAAACTGATGGAAAGAAAAATGCCTACCAATGCCGCTTTGCCTCTTTGGACATCTTAAACAAATTGTTCTATGTTTGCCCTTTGATTCAGGCTAGCACTTCCTAGTCTCCTCTGACTTTTGCCAAGGGTTCGTTTTAGGACAAAGACCCTTCGTGCAGAAGGGAGCGTCCTCCCTGCGGCCCTTGGCCCCAAAATTGACTGCTTCCAAGAAAACTGGGGTAGCCGTAAGGGATAGACCTGGCCGATTCTAACGACAATTGTGCGCAAAGGTACGATTCCTGGGCAAAGAGACAAGGCGAGACTTTTTTGCAATCTGTTGAAAAATTCCTTTTTGCAACTTTTAAGGCTAGCCTTAAAAATTCTTTAAAAATCTTTGAAGGATTGTTCCTGCTATTGGTTCAATTCACAGCATGTATCATTTGTAGAATCACAATACTCCTGAAATTGGGGTGGGGGTGGGGGCATTTAGGCTGCTTTGTCCAACCTGCTGCTTAGTGCAGGAATCCAAATGAACATCTCCTTACAATGAAATGGCAGGGAGACCCTCCTTCCCTCCCTCCCTCCCTCCCCTCGATGGCCCTCTTTAAAGCAAGTCAGCAAAGGGAGGGGGACTTTGTCACCAGTTGCTTTGGGGCTGCTGCCTGGTTCTTCCAGAAAGAAGCCCTTTCCTGCCCCCACCTTTATAATTGCTTGAGTGAAATTAATTGTTAATTACCAAAGGCCTGTGAACACCCCAGCAAATCTTTCCTGCAACAGTAGTTGCCAAGGCCCGGCTGTGTTTCCTGAACCGTGCATGGATGCTGTTGCTGCTTCTGCTCCACTGACACCACTTAGCGCATTCGCTGCAGCCCAAACCCTGACTGCCCAGAGGAGGCATTGGGCCTGCGCCTCTCTGCCAGCCCAGGCCGTCTGCCAGCCTCGCTCTCTTGTGCTGGGAGCCCATTCTTGCTCGGTTTGCTCCTGAATCATTCCAGGAGACTTTCCCCCTCGGGGCTCTTAGAATCTGTTAGCAGCTCTCAAAGGAGTGATGCTTTGGTGCCTCCTCGGATGCAAACAATTCATGCACTAAGCCTGCTGACACCAAACGCCTGACCGAAAGGGCAACCTTTTTCTCGGCCTCTTGCAGTGGCCTCTGGGCTGCTGGTGGCCGGGACCAGCGGCAGCAGGGCAGGGCTGGCTTCCTGACCTGCCGGGGCGAGGGGAGGCATTTGAGGGCTGCATCCCTCAGGCTGTGGTGTTCCCCCTTTGCCAGGAGGCTGCCTCCCAGGTGGTTGGGTACCATCATCAAAAAGGAGGGTCTTCAGGATCTCACAGAAAAGTAGAAAGTCCATCATTTGCAATTGCTATCATAATTGTAGTTACACATTTAAAAAATCCAGTAAGTTTGTGAAGCAGAAAAGTAAGGCAGCTAATGATTGAGCAACACTATCCTCCAGCAGAGTTGGAAAGGTTAGCTGGAGCTTATTAAAGAAATACATTTTCCTATAAGAAGAAATAGTATCTCATTATTTTCTTCCTTTTACTAATACTGTTTAAATCATACGTATTGAATGTTTATAGTCCTGATTGATTCATTTTCCAGTTACAAAGCTTATGTTAGAAAACAAAACAAGTATTTTGCAGCAAGTTCCCTATATCTTTCTGTTGAAAAGTTATTATTCTAGGCATTTTACCTCCAGCTGCAGCCACAGCCTGCAATCCACCGGTCCTTGAGCTGGCAGAAAAGATTGCTGGGGTGGCAACTGGCTGTCCTGATGGCCATGCCCTGTTCTGCCACAGTAACAAGGCCAGCCGTTGCGCTGTCCTTACAGTTCAGAGCCTGGGCAAGTAAAGAGCTCCCCTAATGCCAGTCACTCTCCTTAAATGGGGGTAGGGCAGGGTTGGTGAGCGTAGTGGGGTGCTTGGAATGGTGTGTTTAAACACCTGTCAAGTTGCCTGACTAAAGGTTGTGGGCACGGAGGTGCCTCAAACTTAACTGAGCTATTTTGGGACATGGGTTTAGTGCTCTTTTAGAAGAGGGCTAGATCTGTATTCAGAAATACCCTGATTGGCAGGTCATGGGTATGAAGGAGGCCACAGAGGGAATGAGGAATGGGTTCTGTCCTTGAAATGGGCATGCTGGCAGTGAGACCATTTTTGGCTTTACAGCTTATGGTCCTTGGAAGTAGCTGATATATGGCTGTGGATGAGGCAAAATGGTGCTGCTTTTCCCACAAAGTAATCAAAACTGTCAAAAATTCAGCCAGGTGAAAGTTTTTGCTAATGCAAGGAGGAGAAAACCTGTCATGCAGATGATGGTGACAAAGCCAGTGACACACAGTGGCAGAACCCAGCTCTCTTTCCCAGTTTAAGTTGGCCACTTGTGCTTTCTCAAAAGAGTGCTAAAACCATGTCTATAAGGAACCCACATAAAACCTGACTAATGCTTCAGAAAGCCCCAGTCAGGCAATACATGGCCAGATGGATCTGCAGAAGCCAGGTGTTTAGTCTCCCTTGCAGTGATGATGGAGGTCAGTGACCAGGGACTAGATGGGAGGAGCATGTCTGCAGCAGCCTAGTGTGGCCAGTAAGAACTGAGCAGATCACACCTAGATTGTCAGTGGAGCATGCTAGGTTTGTGTGTTTGTTTATTTATTTATTTATCAAATTTATATGACTGCTCATCTCACTCAAAGTGACTCTGGGTGGCATACAATAAAACCAGGATTAAAACATTTAATAGTTAAACAATAGACATAGATTAAAAACAAAATAAATAAGGCAAGATTACAAGAGGGGAGATATTATGTATAATATAGTCGGTGCGCAGGCTCCCTCTCACCAGCGGATCCCCAGGCTTGCTGGACAAAAACAGGTTTTAAGAGCTCTCTGGACGGTCACAAGGACGGGGGCCAACCTCGCCTCAGGAGGGACG